TATTCCATCTAATACATCCAGTCGTCTAATCTTTTGAATCTATTCAAAACATTCTTGTCAATTGAGATTTTCTCAAGATCAATTACACTTAAATATTTAAAACCTTTCCCTCATATAAACCCATCCCAACATTTTTATATTTCTCATATCTAAATGAATAGAATAGAATAGAATACTATGTTACTTGAGGAGCCTATCCCTCTTAAACTAAAATGCATTTATATCCAGAATTTTTCTATTTTTTAATCATATTCAAACAAATGTTTAGTCTTTAAATATTCCATCTGATAGGTCCCATCATCCAATTTCTTAATTCTAACTTTAGCCTTTTTTTTTTTTTTTTTGCCAAACATCCTTCCTAATCAGTATGCTCCGCTGGACCAAAAAGTCTTCCCATAGTCTTGTAGAGGTTGTTGTAGGTACAGGAAAGAGATCCAGTAAAATGTTTTTGTGGAAGGGTTTCACCCCTTCGTATTCATTGAAAATATTTTTCTTTCTCTCTTAATTTCTCTTATCATTTTTTGTCTCTCAAGCTCTATAATCCATTTTGTCAAATCTTTTTTCTTGTCCTCAGTCTTATTTTGTGAGTAGATTATCTTTTCCATATCCAATATTTCCTGCAAGTTTTTCTCTGCCTGGCCATTGTTGGGTTCCATCTTTAAATCTCTTTCCTCTGGATTATATTCAGTTGTCTGCTTTACCTGATCGCTCTCTGTTTTTATTTTCTGAGAGTTTTTTTGTTGCAAGGTTATATTGAAGATGCGTTCATTTAAATTTTCAAAGTTGTTTTTAATTTCCTTGTGGTTTGAAATCATTGTTGTTTGAATTAGTTGCAACATAGCATACATTTCCTCCTGGAAAGTATTTGTTTTTTCTTGATATATTCTTTCTGCAGGTCTCTGATGTTCTATGATAGCCAAAAATCAAAGTTTTCCTTTCTCTGCAAACAGCTTTAGAGTCACAATTCTATAAGTATTTATAATCCAGGAAAGTCAATTTATTTTCTAAAGTTTATAGTTCTTGCCTTGTAAATAGCCCAAAATGTTTTCTTTTTGTTGCAGCTATTCTCTGTTTAATTAAAACATTGAAAGTCACAAAAACAAATTATCTTTTACAGAACTTTCTATCAGTTCCTGTATTAGAGCAACTAAACTTGTATATTTTCATCCACCACTATATGTCACTACCACTTCGTTTTTTCAGTTTTCAAAACAAACAATTATTTTCTTCTGTTTTCATCAATAATCTTTTGAAAAGAAAATCTTAACAAATTCCACCAATTTCAAACTTATCCAGATTTAAGTCTTATATTCATTTCATTTCAATATGTTTTTGTCCCTCATAAAAGTTTAATTCGCTGCTTCCGTCTGTGGGAGTGTGAGGCAAGAATCCCCCTCCTTCTTACTGTCAGAGGATTTTTGCTTCTTAGGTTTTCTTTTTTTTTTTAAGACAAGTTTTATTGGTTTTTTGATTTTTAAAACAAAGTACTCAAGACACACTGTGGTGTTAGGGTGGTCAAACATCCGCAGACAAAACATATATACATAATTCAATCAATACATCAAATATTCCCTCTCTTTTTCCCTTAAGTAACATATTTTATTTAAAATAATCCAATTCTAGCTTAAATTTATTCAACCTAAACCTGTTTTTAAAGCTTTATAAATTTACACTACCATAATCAAAATAACTTTAAGTACAAACATTATCAGTTCGGGTATCCCTTCCAAATATATTCTTTCCTTAATTTTATCATAGATCTTATTTATTTCTTCTTCCACTAATATCCCTTATTTAAAATAAAATATTAATCTATCCTATACGTATCTAATCCATCAATCAATCAATCTCTTTAAACTGACAAAATAAAGTCCAACCTTAAATCATTTCAATCCTTTTGACAGAATTCAAATTTCGTCCAGTTAATTTTCATAACTAATCACATCCATGTTATCAAACAAACAGATCATCTTATTAGATTAACTCAACATTACATAATAATTTTCTTACAAATAAACCTATTATTCTAAAAAAAAACATTCTTAATCAATTTAATATATATATTCCATTAATCACCCCTTTTTCTCTTACTTTTTAAGCTGAAAAGATAATATCAAACCTTAAATCATTTCAATCCATTGGACATCAAACAAACAAATCATCTTATTAAAAATAATAATTTTCATATCGATAAACCCATCAATTCAAAAAGTACATTCTTAGTCAATTTAATATATATCTTCCATTAATTGCCCATTTCTCTTACATCTCACTCATAATCTTAGTCCTTAAATCAGTCCATAATTCTAAATTGCCTTTAATTCATTACATAAAATTTTAAATTTCATTTCTTTTCAGTCTTATTCTGGGCTTCTTCTTCTGCCAGGTAGATTTCCATAACAGAGCTTCCCTTCCAAATGATAAGTCTTTATTGCTTGCAGTATCATTTGAATCCATGTAAGCCATCTTGGCCTTTGCATTGGCCCTCTGTTTCTCTTAACCATAAAATTTTGTTGCGTTGACATTTCAAATCTCAGTCTTTGCTTTTCCTGATCCTCAAAGCCATAGGTGAATTTCTCTTTATTCTCAGTTAAGTCCTCTTTGTGTGTAGTCTGTTTTATAGAATAATCAGAAGTAGTTTGAGAGTCAATTTTGAGGTTTAAAGGAGAGATTCTGGCTCTTAATTCTGTAGTAAACTCTTTCATTGTAGCACATATTTCTTCTTTAGCCTCATAAATCTTTTCCAGAATAAGTTTACAATTTAAGTGTGAATGCAGCTCCATTTTAAAAGTTATTCAGCTGGATCAGGTTATCTTTCTCTAAAAAAAAAAAAAACAGTTTGAAGGCCAAACATCTCATCTCCAAATAGTCAACAATTACAATATTAGCTTTTGGCCAGTAGATGTCCTCAGTAAGCTAAAAAAACTTTTTCAAGAGTCATTTTTTCCCTTTCTTTCTATTTTTTAAAGAAAAAGTGGAGAAAGAAATACTCTTCCAATATAAGATAGTAATAGCGCTCAGCAAGAAAAAAAACAACAGCATAAACTGATAATACAGCTCTTAAGAAAAAAAAATGTGGTACCCCAAAACATGTATAAAAAAGATGTAGTCTTTAAAATTTTGTTTTATTCTTTTGTTCAACGCCTTTCTTCCCAAACAAGTAGAAGCTGCTTTTCCAAGCCAGGGAAATAATTCCAACAGGACTCTTACAGGCAAAAAAGAAGAAAACAAAGTAGAATAAAAAGAGGAGCAAAGAAAAAAGTCTCACCCGGATACACCACGGTGGCTTAGATGTTTTGTTTGAAGTATTTTTTTCCCCACCAAACAGACAGATGCCGCTCCTTAGAACAGGGAAGTCATCCAAAAAGCAAGCTCTTTGCAGGAAAAATAATTCAGGACGGAGAGAGGGAGGAAAGGTCTCACCCGTATTCATCACGGTGGTTCTTTATGCTTAGATGATTTTCTGACTTTAGCTGGCACAGCAAAGTGATCAGCCATTTTACTGACCGATCTTCTTCTCCATCGGCCCTACGGAGTTAGCTTGGACTGTAGGGGGAGCCGCCGCTCCACCGCAGCTGAGCAAAAGCCTCCTTGATGGTGGTCGCCCCTCCAGGGCGATTTAAGACCCGCATAAGAGTCTACCGGTAGAGAGAAAAATAGCCAATGAAGAGCGACAGCTCTTCGTATGGCTGAAGCTGCCTGATCCGGAAGCGGAAGTCAGGTTTTCTTTTTCTTTTTTCCAGGAAATCAAATATCAAGTAGAAGAGAGAAAATCAATATTCTTACTGAGTTCCAAACACATTGTTTACGATCAAGCTTAAATTAGTGCTTTTTGGCTTCGGCTGCTTGTAGCTTGGGCTAGACTCTGGAGTGAAGCTAGCCTTTCTTCTACTGGTTTCTGGAGGGCTTTCCCCGAACGACCAGATCGACCACCGTCTCTCCACTTTGTCGCCTCTCCAGGGTGACTTTAGGCCCATTTAGGGTCCCCAAACAGAAAAGAATTGGCCATAGGGTGCACAGCCCCACGATCCCTCGGCTACTTGTGTTACTGCATAAAACCGGAAGCCTAATATTGGATCTTTCCTATCCCAGTCCAAGAGCACAATAAAAGCATCATATTGACATCCTTTAACCCTCATTGTGTTCAAAATATGCAAACTGCATTGATTTCCAAGAATGGAAATTCTTTCATTTTGGCAAAAATTAAACCCCACACTGAGATTAAATAAGTCAAATGGACTAATCCATTTGTGGGCTGAATTTAATTTGATGTTCCTCCATTTCAATATGCAAGGGACAGCATATATTGTTTTGATTGGATTAAAATAATAAGTGAGCTACTTGACAGATCTTACCTTTTGAGCATAGACTGTATATTAAATTTAAGTATTTTTTTTCAAATGTTGAGTTTGCTGATTATTTGGAACTATAAACATAATCACTAATGGGTTGAATTAATTGCCATATGCTTCACTAGCTGAAGCTTTCCTATTGTTGATAATATTAACAAATAGTTCAAATAACTTAAATAGGAAGCTGCCAGTGCATGATCTACTGGAACACACTTGTTTTTCTGCAGAAATGGAGCACTAAAATTGGCTGTAAGCCATCTGAGTCCTCAAGTCTACTTGTCATTCTACTGACAAAAGATGAATCATGAAGTGCTTGTAGGATTTAAGTTCCATTACATTATCTCTGATTTGACCTATTGTAGTTTTATAATGATCTGGTAACAGAAAAAACAGAAGAAACCATTTCCATAATGCATATTTTGCTTTATAAAATTAGACTTTTAAAAATAAAATTAGAAGCTCAAGCTATTATATGCTTTAAACTAATTTTTACCATTTATCAAATCTTTGTATCCAAATGGAAAGTTAAGTTTTGTCAAGTAGTTAAGACAAAAATAGGAAATAGGTTTACCTACAAAGGTATATATGGTTTTCTACTTTGTTTTTTTATTGCTTTCACTAGAAAGCTTAATACTGTAATTACTACAGCATTTTTCAAGCACTCAGAGCAATTTTTATTTCAAGTAAAATCTTGATTTCTCTAATGGATTGTTTTCTATGACAGGTGGGAGATTCAAGAAAGAGATAGTAGTTGATGGACAGAGCTACCTATTGCTAATTAGAGATGAAGGAGGTCCTCCTGAAGCACAGGTATGCATTATGTTTAATTATTTTAGTAATCTGAAATCTGGAGATCAATATTATAGGTAACATTATTTCCAACAGAAAATAATGAAGGAAATGGTTTCAGCTGATTTCCTTTACAGGCCCCAGTACCATACCTGTCTCATCTGTTCAGAACAGATTATAAAAATCTCTCCTTGATCAGTTTCCATCCATTATTCCTTATCTGGCCTTTGGGTGCTCTGGAAAATAGGTTGTCCCCCTCTTCTCTGTGACAGCACCTCAAATATTGAAACATTGCTATCATGTCACTCTTGGTCCTTCTCTTCACTAGACTAGCCATGCCCAGTTCTTGCAACCGTTCTTCATATGTTTTAGCTTCCAGGCCCCTAATCATCTTATTGCTCTTTTCTGCATTCTAGAAAGAGTCTCAGTGCCTTTTTATAGTGTGATGACCAAAACTGGATGCAATATTCTAGGTGTGGCCTTACTAAGGCTTGATAGAGTGGTATTAGTACCTCATGTGATCTTGATTTAATCCCTCTGTTAATGCAATTTAGGATTGCTTTGGCTTTTTTGGCTGCTGTCGCACACTACTTTCGCTCATATTTAGTTAATTGTTCACTAAGACTCTAAGATGCTTCTCACAGTTACTGCTATTAAGCCAGGCTTCACCTAATCTGTACATGTACTTTTGGTTTTTCTTGCCTAAGCGTAAGACTTTTCTCTACATTGAATTTCATTTTGTTAGATAGGGCCCAGTGTTTAAATCTGTCGAGATCCATCTGGATCTTGAGCCTATAGTGCTGGCTATTCCTGCCAGCTTAATATCATCTGCAAATTTGATGAGTTCCCCTTTTATTTCCTTCCTTGAAAAAAGTAATTAAATTAGTGGATCAGGAAATGCTGTGGATATGACATGATAGCAGTCTTCCAGTACTTGAAGTCTGTCACAGAGAAGAGGGGGTTGACCTATTCTCCAAAGCACCTGAGGGTAGGACAAGAATGGGCATGCTCCCAAGCCTGGGGCACTACATGCACCAAGAATCCCGTTTCCTGGCTATATTTTAATAGGCCAGATGTCTTGCTTTGTATGTACTGGAAATAGACATTTTAATGTTTAGTGTGTTAATGATTTTTACTGTTTTTATTGTTATAAAATGTTTTTAATATTTTAATTGTAATACATGTTTCTGAGTTGTGAGCTGCCAAGAGTCATTTGCTGAGATGGGTGACTATAGAAATCAAATAAATAAAGAAAGAAAGAATTGGTGGAAGATCATTAAAGAGAGATCCAACCTAGAATTAAGAAGAAATTTCCTGACAAAGCAATTAATAAATGGAACAGCTTGCCCCAGAAATTGTGGGTGCTCCATCACTGGAGGTTTTCAAGAAGACATTGGACAACCGTTTGTCCAGGATGGCTTACAATCATCTGCTTGAGCAAATTCCCTTGTTATTCTATGTTCTACACCAGGGGTTTTCAACCTTTTCATCCACTGTACCACTTTTAGGCTATGGCAATATCCGAGTACCACCAGTCACCTAGCAAGGTGTCAAAAACTTGATGACCCCCCCCCCAAAAGGGAAAAAGTGATAAAGTACAGGTAGTCCTCGACTTACAACAGTTCGCTTAGTGACTGTTCGAAGTTACAATGGCACTGAAAAAAGTGCCCCCCAAGGCACAGCCGAGCAAGACACCTGCCTGCCCACCCGGCGGTGCTCTTCCTCCTGTCCGAGGTTTTCATTGTTGTGAGCATTTCTGTTGAGGATTGGCAGCAGGGTGGGGTGGGGGGGGTGTTTGGTTTTTATTTCCTCCGTCTGCTGGGTGGTTGCAGCAGGTTTTGGTCACTTCCCATGACCCTGGGACACTGTGACCGTCATAAATATGAATCAGTTGCCAAGCATCTGAATGTAAATCACAAGACCCTGGAGATACTGCAACATTCCAGCTGATCAGCGCTTCTTCTGGGCTCAGCAGAAGCGTCAGGATCAGCGCTGAGCTCCAGCTGGAGCCTGGCACTGATCTGGCGCTTCCACTGAACCCTGACAGCCCCGAAGAAGCGCTGATCCTGGTGCTTCCGCTGAGCCCTGACAGCCCTGCAGCTCCAGCCATCTCTCGCTCAGGCTTGTGTGGTGCTGCCACCGGTTTAGCTCATTCCCCTCCCCCGGTACCACTTTTCTAGGATGGTTGCGTACCACCTGCCAGGTGCCAATGTACCACAGATTGTACCCGTACCACTGGTTGAAAAGCCCTGTTCTAGACCAGGGATCTTCAAACTTGGCCCTTTTATGACTTGTGGACTTCAACTCCCAGAAATCCTCAGCCAGTGTGCCTGGCTGAGGAATTCTGGGAGTTGAAGTCCACAAGTCATAAACGGGCCAAGTTTGAAGACTCCTGTTCTAGACCCTACAGTTTTCTTGTCAAGATTGCCTTCTTCCTAGGGCTGCAAGTGAGTGACTGGTCCAAAATCACTTAGCTGGCTTTGTGCCTAAGGCAGGACATTACCAAGAGCCTTCATTAAAATTGAAAAATAGTAACATAGAGAAATTGAATTGTGGTTACTTTCTCTTTTGTAATGATGACAGTAATCTCTTTATGTAAAGACAAACAGTGAAGTAAACAAACAGTTAAGTTTCAGCAAGCACTGGACACAGCATTACTCCTTTGAAGCTTCAGTCTTTCAAGCTTATTAAATAGTAATATCCAACTAAATATATACGCTGTATTGGCAGCAACAATCTACCTCCCCCCATTGGGCAAGTTAGAACAGTAGCCTCAGCTGGGAAAGTTTTTCCTTTGCTAACACCTTTGCTAACAGTATCTATCTCCTTTGCTTTTCAGCTGATATTCCTGTTTTGAGAGAACCATTTAATTCTCCATGAGGGAGCTGAACTACTTCAAGCCCTGGTCTCTTAAAAGCTAAATAGAGAGTCCTGAGCAGTTTCTTTGGTGTCAGCCTTCCTTTTCCTTTCTTCTTTCAGCCTTAAACTCATCATGCTCTGAGGTGGAAAATGCTTACTCCGTGATGATAAGGCTTACGTATTGGCATTTTTTCTTCATCATAATGACCTATTTTAAATATAGTCTATTTCTTTCTTGTGCTGAAGTGATAGAGTTGGTTAGAAGAGAGTAGTGAATAAAATAAATCTAGGTTAATATAAATGTTCTGAATGACAGTTGTAAGCTTTAGAGAAGTAACCTTCTGATTGTAGGGATAATGTGTAGGTTTGAATATATATATGATTAAACTTATATTAATGAAGATTAGTAAGAGTGAGAGCATCTGTAATTGGATAAATGTTTGCTCTGTAAAGCAATTAATTGTTAAAAAAGTGAACTCAAGAATAACAAAAAGCAATTACATTAATTGTATAGAGTTTGGGGTAAATCCTCATTTACTTAAAATAAGAAAATTTATTTTAAAAGGGAACAAAAATTCAAGTTCTGGTTATTTTCACATTTTGGTACAATGTGAAATAAAAATCCCAATTAGAAAAGTATATAATAAATTTTAAAATAAAATAAATAATCAAATGGCTGGAATAGGGTATTTCAGTTGACTAGTAGCACATATAAACATCTACTGAGGTCTTTGATCACTTTGATTCTTTGTGTAGACTTTGAGAACCAGGCTTTAATTCTCATGTAGGGTATGTCAAGGTTCCGACTGATGATTCCAACCAAGTAAGCACAGCTGAAACATTCCAATCTCTAATGCAAAACTTAATTGAGTACAGCATATTGGCACTGATGAATAGAAAATCAGCTCTGGTGAAAATGGCACCAGAGCAGTAAATTAAAAGTATAGAATCTCCCTTCCCCTCTGATAGTGCAGGTCACATTCCCCAATTAAGTGTCAGACATTTGTTATGAAAAAATAGTTCAATTCCCAGCCGAGCCATTCTACGATGACCTTGATTCCCAGAGTGGACCATTGCAGCTGTGCTGAGCACTCCAAACATCCCCCTTCCCTCCTGCTGAAGAAAAAACAATGGCTGAAGCAGAACAGGTTTCTTTGATGCTTGACAGGGTACTTGCAAGTCACATTAACAATTCAAACAAACTATCATGTTTAAAAAAAAACAAAAAAGTTCACAGTGATAGTTTCTCAAACAAGTTTTCATTGATAAAATCAATAAATATACACCAAAGTGTCCCTTAGATGTTATTCATGGTCATGTACTGAATATATTCTTTTGATAAAATGACTAAATTAGTGGATCAAGAAAATGCTGTGAATATAATATACTTAGACTTCAGTAAGACATTTGATAAAAAAGTAGACGACAGCCTACTTTTTGGTAAGATAGAAAAATGTGGGATAGACAGGACCACCATCAAATGGATTTGCAGTTGCCTATCCATTTGCACTCAGCATATGGTCCTCAGTGGAATTACATCTGTGTGGAGGGAAGCATTCAATGGAATACCTCAAGGTTCTGTCCTATGCTGGTGTTCTTCAGCATCTTCATAAATAACCTAGATGAGGGGATAGAAGGAGTGCTCAATCAAATTGGCAGATAATACCAAACTGAGGGGAATTGCTAACACAAGATGAACTCAAGATTCAGAAGGATCTTGACAGATTTGAACATTAGCCCTACCCAACAAAATGCAGTTCAGTGGTGAGAAAAGTAAGGTGCTTCACTTAGGCAAGAAAAACCAAATGCACAGGAACAGAATAGACAGTACCTGGCTCAACAGTAATATCTGTGAGAAGGATCTTGGTGTTCTGGTGGACCACCGCTTATGTATGAGCTGGCAGTGTGTTGCAGTTGCCAAAAAAGCCATCAACAAGAGGTGATAGTACTGCTCTGCACAGCACTAGTAAGGCTATACTTGGAATACTGCATCCAGTTCTGGTTAACATGACATACAAAAAATGCTGAGGCCCTAGAAAGAGTGCAGAGAAGAGCAACAAAGATGATAATGGGTCTGGAAGCTAAATAAGTATGCACTGCTAAGGGAAATAATTACGTTTAACCTAATAAAGAAAA